CGTACGTAACGTACTCTCTCTCTCTCTCTCTCTCTCTCTCTCTCTGTGGATAGATTGGAACTAGGAATCATTTCATTATTCACCTGGCTCTCTCTCTCATGATGTATTGGAACTGGTAATTATCTCTCTTTATTTCTCTCTCTCTCTCTATTCATCTTACATGCTCTGTCATGGTGGTGTTCATACTCTAACAGGGCCAGCTGTGATCTTCCTGCATGGTTTCCCAGAGATATGGTATTCATGGCGCCATCAAATGGTGGCATTAGCAGCTGCCGGCTTCCATGCCATTGCCCCTGACTGGCGAGGCTATGGCCTCTCTGATCAACCACCCCACCCCGAGAACGCGACATACATGGACCTCATTGCAGATCTCCTCGCCATTCTCGACCTCCTTCATATACCAAAGGTACCATCTTTAGTTTCTAGCTTCAGAATTAATCCTCTATTTTCTTCTCAATTGACTGTGTATGAAGTCACAGAGTCGCCTTGCTGCCCTGTGTATTCGTGACAATACGAAAAATGATAACAGAATTGACCATAGAGTTGAGTTTCTGAACTGGTTTGGTAATGAATGTTGGAAAGCTTTTCAGGCGTTTGTTGTTGGTAAAGACTTTGGAGCCATGCCTGCATACCTGTTTGCATTGATGCACCCGGAAAGGGTCTCAGGGGTCATAACGCTGGGCATACCTTACATGCTCCCTTCGCTTCGAAAGCACACTAACCAGCACTTGCCTAAGGGCTTCTACATTCGACGCTGGCAGGTACTCTCTCTCTCTCTCCTAGCACTGTGTTCTCACAGAAGAGTATGCAAATCTGTGTTGTTCTTCTTTAGGGGTTTTTTTGTATTTTGATTTTGTTTTCAAGAATCACTTGTTTTGAGTTTAAATTGCTCGGAGGACTAGATCATCTACAAAATTTGGGTTCCTAAAAATCGTAAGAGGCATCTGAGTTCAATTCCATATTTTCTTTGCTGAAAGATGACCAGTATTCATTACCAAAAAACGTAAACATTTTTGTCTTTTATTGATCTTTTACATGAGCTTGTTCATTGGGATGAACACATTTCACCTACAAAATTTGAGGTCATATAAATCATATAGGTCATCATCATCATCATTCAAGCCTAATCCCAATTATTTGGGGTCGGCTACATGAATCATGTTCCTCCATTCTTCTTTATCAAGGGCTATAACTCAGTAAGATCAAAAGTCACATACACGAAATACATATATCACCATCATCATCATCCAAGCCTTATCCCAAGTATTTGGGGTCGGCTCCATGAATCATGTTCCTCTATTTTTCTCTATCCAGGGTCATACCCTCAATAAGATCAGAAGTCACTATATATTTTCTCACTACTTCCATCTATGTCCTTTTGAGTCTTCCTCTTGCCCTTTTAGAGCCTTCTACTTGAACCAAATTACATATCCTAATCGGCGCTTTATTAAGTCTTAGTTGCATATGGCTAGCCTACCTAAGTCTACTTTCTCTCATCTTATCACCTATTGAAGCCACACCTAAGTTGCCTCTTACATATTCATCCTTAATTCTATATTTTTTTATCTTCCACTCATCCATCTTAGCATCATCATCTCAGCTATGCTTATCCCATGGAAATGTTGTTTTTTTATTGCCCAACATTCCGTTCCATAAAGTATAGCTCGTCTTACAACCGTCCTATATAACGTTCCCTTCAATCTCAATGGTATGTGACGACAACATAAAAACTCCGGATGAACATCTCCACTTTCCCCATCAAGTTCTAATTCTATGAGCGACATCTTTCTCAATCTCTCTATTCTCTTGGACTATCGATCCTAGATATTGGAAACAATTTCTTTTAGGTTTTTCTTGACTATCAATATTAACTACTTCTGCATTTTTACTCTTAGTATTACTAAATTTGTATTTTTTATATTATGTCTTGGTCCGGGTAATTTTAAAACCTTTAGATTGTAGAGCATCCCCTCCAATGTTCTAACTTTGCGTTAACTCGACCTCTAGTCTCATTGATCGAAACTATCTCATCTGCAAATGACTTGCACCATGGTACCTCGTCTTGTACCTGCTTAGTTAACTCGTCCATAGCCAAAATGAAGAGATAAGCGCTTAGCATGGACCCCAAATGTAAGCCTATTGTCATTGAGAACTCACTTGTCTCTCTATTAGTTATCCACACACTAGTTAGTGCTCTTTCGTACATATCTCTCACTATGTCAATATATGTACTAGTGACTCATTTCTTTTTCAACACCCACCAACTTAAATCTCTAGATTACCCTATCTCAAAATCAATAGAGACACATGGAAGTCTTTGCCCTTCGCCCTAAACTTCTCAATCAGTTGCCTAATTAGGAAAATGGCTTCATTAGTTGACCTCCCTGGCATAAAACTGACAAATTATATAGATAAAGATAGCAAAACAGCAAATCAAAGGGTTAATTTTATGTCCCTTGGTCTATTTGAAACTTAAGTTGGCAAAATTCAGAACATATTCTCATACCTTAAATTGTTTGACTGCAATCCCATATGTATTGTGAGCCGAGAATTCCAACCGTGCATGTACTTTGGATGCTAATATGCTTCTTTCAGAGTGTAAGCCAGGAATGGCAAACAAAACCATGAACTAGATTATTGTTTGAACACACGAAAACTGGAATTACCATGTCTTCAGTTGCTCGGTGTTGGTCTCAATAGATCAAATGTCTGAAGTTATCTTCCCCTCGTACTCATGTTTGGAGATTGATCCTTCTTAAGCATAGGAGGTTCTACTTTTATTTATGCAACTGGATTCCTCCATTTGGATACACAGGTTCCAGTTAATCAAAGGGATAGATATGATGTCTTCAAATACTTATCCCTTCTCAAATGAATTTCCCATTTTAATCCTTTGGGAATGCTTCGATAACTGTGCAGGAGCCAGGGCGTGCTGAAGCGGATTTTGGACGTTTCGATGTCCGGACCGTCATAAGGAACATTTATATACTCTTCTCAGGCAGTGAGCTTCCCATTGCAGGTGATGATCAAGAGATCATGGACTTGGTGCACCCATCAACTGTCCTTCCAAACTGGTTCAGTGAGGAAGATCTAAATGTCTATGCTTCCCTTTATGAAAATTCGGGGTTCCGTTTTCCTTTGGAGGTCCCGTATCGTTGCATCAAAAGGTAAACTTTCGCAAGCTATGCAACTTGGACATGCATATCTATGGTTCTGGAGTATGTCGATACACCAAGGATACGGCACGCATGTTTGAGACTTCAAAATTTTGGTTTTTGGGCACATCAGCTTAACTTAGTTTGTTGAATTTCACTATGGACTTTGTAATGTAACTTCACACCCCACCTCCCAACCCCCTCTAGATGATGCATGGATTTGTTGTGTCTAGAAGGCCAACTTGGGGGTTGGCGTTTCTAAACACTTGTATCAATGTTGGATGTTGATACTCGTATTTGTCTCCATGTAACATAGTTTACAAGCCTCTTTACCTCACCATTCTGAAAATCAATATACGCTTGATTAAATGTGATATCTATTTTCCAATATTTAAGAACACAGGCTTAGGCTAGAGCTGGGACTTACCTGGGCCTCGAGCCCTAGTAACTGTCTAGCTCAGGCAAGACACGAGTTAGACTGGTGATTTTAAATTAAAGAAATTACTATTTTCTTAAGAAATTGGAGACTTGTAGTACTTCCGAGGTTTTTCCTCTACAATCTGCATATCATTGTTCCAAGCCGCCTGGGGCAAGTCCATAGCCTAGTTTCTGATTTTATACACCACTATTTTCTAATATCTTATATTATCTACTAGATCATTCAAGGAGGCGGACCATTCAGCAGCAACAGACTTGAAGGTGAGAGTCCCAGCTTTGTTGGTCATGGGTCGTAGAGACTATTTCCTCAAATTCCCAGGAATAGAGGATTACATAAACAGCCCACTGTTGAAGGAGAACGTACCCGATCTTAAAATCGTGTTCATGCCGGAAGGAACCCATTTCGTCCAGGAGCAGTTGCCCGAAGAGATCAATCAGCTCATCATTGACTTCCTCAAGAAGCATACTGAATAGAAGAGCTGATATGGGTTATTTATGTGTAGCATGCTAAAATCCATGGATTTCCCATGGATTAATGATAGCTTTTTCCTAGAGTGCAACAATGAATGTTAAATGAGTTCTTCAACTTTGGATGAAGAGATTAAAAATACTGCCTTGTTGGCCATGTGTCCCCTTACTATGGTATTTTGTATATGCAAAATCTATTTTAAATGGATTGGATGTCCAAATATGTAGATCAAAAGCCAGCAATGAATTAAGATTTTAATTAATGCAAACAATTTCAGTTAACATAAAAATCGCGAATAAGTGTGATTTTAGATATTAAAAAAACAAAAAGTCAAAAAAGGGTGTTTATTCTCAAAAAAAAATCATCTTTTTTTTTCTTTTTATTGCAATGGACTGGAATGAGTGAAAACGATTACAAACACATCCGCCAACAAGCAAATAAACCACGTCATGCTTCCAATCACGAAAAACATCACAATTAGAAAAATCCAACGTAGAACCAAAAAAAAAAAATCATAATGTATGACCAGGATCTTAACGTAGAAGGGTGGTCCATGGGCTATGTGACTCTCCTCACTACATCTTTCCAATATCATTTTCAATAGTGACTTGTCCTGTAAACTTCATTTTCTTGATGAAAGGAACTTACTAATAACAGAATAGTTAGAACAGTAAGATACTATACTCACAGTAGAATCTTTTGATTACAAATTTTAAGAGGGACCATACCCACTAATCAACAGCTTGGGTAAGCAATTCAAGTTGCCTTATTGGTAAAATTAACTACTACTTCCCATCCACAAATTGAAGTAGACCAACAACCAGAAGCCATTTCTTGACTTTGACTAACGAGCCATTGTTGCTGGCCACCCCCTCCTCCACCGCTGCCCCCCACCCTTTTCCCCTCTCTCTCTCCTTCTTCTTTACACTAGAATCTTCCAGTCTGAGCCACATTATAAAACTCCAAATTATCCATTTTGATTCCTCTACAGCTCCCTCCCTCTACTCATTTTGTTCTCATTCTGCAAAATCTAAGTTTAAAGTTGGAGAGATCATCGAGCATATACAACACAAGCAAGGTGATGTAGGCGACCTCAAGCTCCACATAGCAGAGATAGGAAATGGTAGTTTCTTAGATCTCTCTCTCTCTCTCTCT